TACTTAACCTTCCTGAGCCTCAGTTTTCTCATCTCTGAAATAGGAATCATAGCAGTACCTAACTCATAGGCTTACTGTGAGGAGTAAATGGGATAATGTGTGTAAAATTCTCAGTGCACTGGCTCAGCCTTAAAAAGTGACCAAAAAGTAATACCTCTTATTATTTGCCCTAAGGTCGCCCCTTTCTGCCCAGAAAGAAAGCATAGTAGTAGATAAAAGTGCTGGATTGGGATTCCAGTGACTTTGAGTAAAGTACTGATTCTGCCACAAATTAGCAGAGTGATGTTGGGCATGAACTCGCCCCTGTCTGTGCCTCAGTTTCCCCATCTGCCAACTAAGAGGGTTGGATTCCTTGAGCCCTTCCAGCTCTAACTCTGAAGGATGGCTGATGAGAAGATCGTATGGCCGCTCCATGTAGTTTCTGGATGGTCCCAGTCTTCCCAGTTACCCCATACAGAGGAGGATGAGGAGCAGGTCTGGGAAGAAGACCCTGGCCTCCTCAAACCAGTGCCTTGGTTAAGAGCACTACTCTGGGGATGCTCAAGCCCAGCTTGGAATTCTGTCCCTACCACTGTGTGTGACCTTGGTAAAGTCACTTCACTTCTCTGAACCTCAGTTCCTTCATCTATAAAATGGGACTTAAAATGGTACCCAGAGTAAGGGATTGTAATGACCAGGTGAGCCAATGCCTGCAAAGTTCTTCGCATACAGAGGAAGGACTCAGTGTGCTGTTTTAATAATCATGATTGATGCTAGTTGCATGTAGACCTCATCTCTGGGCACGGTGCTCTTCTTAGGGCCAGTCAGAGTGCAGCTGTGTCCATTCCAAGCATTATTTCTTAACGCTCTTTATGAGCATAAGACAGTAAAGTTCTTTTTGAGGACAGCAGCCATCCTGGGGAACCACGTGGAAGAGAAGAGTAGGCCGGCCTCTGCATACTGACCGTCTAGATTCCCATGATCCCAGGTTGGCTTGAAGGAGGAGAGAGCCCTCTGTCCTTCCCCTCCCTGCCCATAAGACCAGCTCTCTAGGACTGGAAAGGACCATAAGCTACATCTTTCTCAGCCCTTTTACCTGGTGTAGGATGCCAGGAGAAGTGGCCTACCCAAGTCTCATAGGATGTTTCTAGACTTGGGATTCTAAGTAGTTTGTGTGGTATTGAAGAGAGTGTCTGCATTTGATTCTTGGCTTCTCACGGAACAGGCTGTGTCCTCACTGGACTGGAAAAGGGGATAATAATAAACCTTTGCTTTCTAGGGTTGTTGCAAAGATTAAACAAGCATGCATATAATATATAGCAAGCCCTCTATAAATAGCATTCCTATTACTCATGTCTCTACTCTATATTCCTCCCCCAGTGCTTTTTGGCCATTCCACCCTGGAAACACCCAGTGCACTGATTTGGGGATTTCTTTTCAGCTGTGAAGGTGTGTGAGAGTAGTAGCATTGGTCTGGAGTACCAGTCTGGAAACCTGATTGGAACCCTGACTCTGCCTCTCTGTTGCTCTGTGACCCGCCACTGGTCATCTTCCCTCTCTGGCCCTCAGTCTCTTCCCCTATAAGAGCACTGTCCAATATAAATAGAATGTGAGCCACAGTCTATATGTAGTTGTAAATTGTTCAGCAGCCACTTTATAAAAAGTAAAAAGAAGTAGAGAAAATTAATTTTAATAATATATTTTACTTAATGCAGTGTATCCAAGAAATAATCATGTCAACATGTAATCAAAACTAGAAAATCATTTAATGAGATATTTTATGGCTTTTTTCTTATTAAGTTTTGAAATCTGGATGATTCTTGATCTGGGATGATTCGGGCAATTGTCTGGGATGTTTTTGGTCATCACACCCAAGAGGGGTAGAGGATGGCAGGTAGAGGTATGTGTGTACTATCGGCATCTAGAGGGCAGAGACCAGGGATGATGCTAAACATCCTACAGTGCGCAGGAAAGCCCCCCACAGAGGATTATCTGGCCCCAAATGTTAACAGTGCCTATTTTACACATACGGCACAGTTCAGATTCGCCACTTTCCAAGTTCTCAGTAGCCACATGGAGCTGGTGGCTACCATATTGGACAGTGCAGCTCTAGAACATAAAACATTTGGACGTGCACTTAAAAGCCAAATTTTTAGGAATTTGTGTTTTGGTAAATTTGTTTTCCTGCTCATCCCTGAATAAGTGACCAAATGAGATGTGGCTGGTTCACCCGTCCCTGGCTGGCTAAGGACAGATCCCATCTGTCTCTGGCTAGTTAGACTCTTCCAAAGCTATCTGCCCTCCCCTGGGAGACTGAGCCCAGGGTGGACAGTGGACCCTGTTGTTCTTTTCTGGGGAGACAATGCTGCAGGCCCTGCTGCCTACCTGACAGGGCTTTTGTGGCTCAGGGAGAAAAGGGCTTTGTCAGGACAGCAGCCGAGGAGCCTGCAGTTCAATGGGGCCCTTTATGTCTGCACTCCCGGGATGCTCGGGATGCTCGATGCCAGCCCTGGGGAGGCCCCACCCCCTCCTAGAACAAATAGGGACCCTGAGGCCCAGAGAAGGTGTAGAAGGCCCTCCAATAGATCCCAGTTCCCTCCACCTCAGCCCACTGCCCTGAAACATGAAATCCACCTAACTCTGAAAAGCCCTGTCTCAAGTCACAGGGCGAACTCAGTATTGTCCTTAACCTGGGCAAAGAGGCCCCTGCCCCCTACCCTGAACTTTAGCAGCTCCACAGATCACAAACACATACACAATTAATGTATTAAAGTCTCCCAAGATCCAGGCCCATCTCTGGCACAAGGCAGCTATAACCGAACATCTTCTCTTGTGACTTAAAAAGCCCAGGCCAAAGCAGAGCGCTCCATCTCTCTCATCCTATGTCCTTGGAACAAAAGCGATGGAGTTTGAATGCAGTGAGAGTTTGAGGGTTGTACCTTGGCAAGCCTCAGAGATGGACGCTCTTTTATAGCACAAGTGGGATCTGAGCAGCAGAAATGCTTAGGTAAGAGAAAAGACAAACTAAATTCCTTGTCAAGTCCTCCCTCCCTGGTGGCATGGGTACATTCATTTTTCTCTAATGAAGTATCATTTCCCAGTAGAGCCAGTCTCCAGTTTCTGGCTCCTTTGTGTCTTGAAAGAACTCATGCTGGTCTTGGAAGTATTCACCTCCATTTGAACTCTGGTGCCACATCCCTCCAAGGTTAGGGACAGGCCTGGGTGTTAGGGGTAAAGGTACATGAACTTGGATCTGGTATGTGGGCAAGACCTGTGGCTTCCCTTTCCTTTCTAACCTCTGCCCTACCCACCCCGCCCTGGACCCCATGGTGGCTCACAGACACACACACACACACACACACGCACGCACGCACGCACGCACGCAGGAAGGGAAACTGATCCTTCTGGAGAGAAGGTGACTTAAAGTCATCCAGCAAGTTAAGGGAAGCCACATGCTGCGAGGACCCTCCCTTTGAGGCCGAGCTAGAAGGCCACCAGCAGAGGGTGGAGGGTGGTGGCTTGGGAGACAGGGTGAGGATATAGCAGCTCTGTTTACTCCTGGCGCCCTCAGTTATTGGCTATGGGACCTTGTGGGGACGGGGCGGGGGTAGTTTATCAGTATTTAAAATATGGCTTTTTCTATTCCTATACAAAATGTTATTAGGGGAAGCTGGTGACAGGTATATGGGAACGCTGTGAAATATTTTTGTAACTCTTCTGTAAATTCAAAATTACTTCATAATCAAAAAAATTTTAATACCGTTTTCCCTCATCTGTACCATGGAGATTAGCACCTGCCTCACAGAAGGCTTAAATGAGATAATGCCTGTAAGCCTTTAGTACAGTATCTGTCCCCGAGTGAAGACTCAGTAAATAACCACTTTTAAAAGCTACTTGCTCCAGAAGGCCAGTGACCTCTCGGCACCCAGCACTACTTTCTTGGCAGTCCTCACTCCTTGGGAGCAGAGTTATTTCAGCCTAAAATGCCAGGCTTGGTGTGGTTGCTGGGAGCATGCATTTCATCTTGGCTCTTCTGCTTCCTAGCTAGGACCCCGGGGCAAGTTACTAGATCACGCTGTGCCTCAGTTTCCTTTCTATAAATCATAAAGCTACAAGTAAGTTTGTCATGAGGTTTAAATGAACTGGGAGTTTTCAGCACTAACAGCTGTGCCTGGCCTGTAGCAAGCAATACACAAGTGTTTTTAAGGTCCAGCTCAGTGTTTCTCGAACTTGTTTTACTAGCACCCACAGTAACAAATATACTTTCCATCACCACCATTTTTTTTTTTTTTTTTTTTTGCGGTACGTGGGCCTCTCACTGTTGTGGCCTCTCCCGTTGCGGAGCACAGGCTCCGGACGCGCAGGCTCAGCGGCCATGGCTCACGGGCCCAGCCGCTCCGCGGCACGTGGGATCCTCCCAGACCGGGGCACGAACCCGTGTCCCCTGCATCGACAGGCGGACTCTCAACCACTGCGCCACCAGGGAAGCCCCACCACCATTTTTCTTTTTGATGGTGATTTGGAAAACACCAGTCTCTAGATAGTTGATCCCATTTTGTTTCCCCTATTAATAATATATAAGGTTCTTGGGGGACAGGGAATATGTTTGATTCATTTTGGTCTCCAGTTACTTCATTTCCTTCTTTCATTCAATTTACCAAGCTTGTATCACCCATTCATTCCACATATATGTATCGCCCTTTATTGAGCACCTACTATGTGCCTGTTGCATATTAGTGCCCCAGTGCAGATCAGACATACGTTAAATGAATAAATAAGGCAGGGAGGTAGGAAGCCAGGAAGGCAGACAGGAAGGGAAAAAAACCCAATGTCCTGGATGCCCATGGCCCGAGAGAGCCCCAACTGGCAGCAGTTTAGTTCCCACGTTCCCACTTCTACCTCAGCCAGAAAATTAAACCCTCTCCAGCCACCCTGGAGCCCATCAGCTGTCTAGGTGCTGGTCCGGCGTGTCGAGGAGAGGCGGCGCCCGGGGACCCGCCCCCTCGCCTCCTGCCTGGGGCGAGGTGGTGACGCCCGCTCCGGGATCCAGGCAGCCTCCGCGCCCCCGGAGGGCATGCGCCCCTCCGCGGGCAACTCGAGCACAGGGCCCCAGGCCCACGGAGTTGCCCAAGAGGCCGGGCGGCTCCTCCCCGGGGACCCTCCCCCTCTGGGGCGCGTCATTCTCCCCACCCCCGGGTCCGACCCCGGCTGTTCCTCGCACGCCGGCCACGCGGGGGACAAATCTCAGCCACCTGCTCCGGAGCCGGGGAGCCGGGGCACCGTCCGCCCCATGGAGCTGCCGGCCAGCAACACCAGCTGCGAGAACGGTGCGTGAGGCCAGCGGGGACCCCGTGCGCTCTGCGCTTCGCCTTCCCTCCCTGCTGCTCCTTTCCTCGGCGTCCTCTCCTGCCAGGGGGACCGAAACGGGGAGGCGGTCCGCATGCGTCGTCCCCCACCCAGTTCTCAGGCCCGTCTTGGGAGGGAGCAGGGTTCTGGCTGACTTTCCCCCTCTTTGAAGCTGGGTAGCTGAGGGGGGAATGGGAGAAAGGGGGACGTGCGTGGGAGGGAAGAGGCGGGATTTATCGATTGGAGCGGGTCTACCAAGAGGTGTGTGTGTGGGGGGGGTGTGTTTTATGTATAGTTGCTTCAGATTTTAGTACCTGCCCAGGTCTGTCCCCCTGGGGCTCATCAAAGACAGGGTAGAGGGCGCAGAGACTCACCACCCCCAAACCCACATCCACCTTTTAGGAAAAGGAGGGAAAGAACAACCCAGGAAAGGATAAGGAAAGATTCTGGGCTTTATGCTCAAGTTCTTATTATAAACCTGGGTAGTGGACTAGGCTCTTTACCTGCATTATCCCAGTTAATCCTTAACACAACTCTAGAAGGCAGGTAGATATTACCTTCCTGTCACCATTCTGGAAGTAGGGAAAATGAGGCTCTGAAAAGTCTGATGAACTTGCTCAAGGTAGTACAGTGGGGAAATGGAATATAGAACCAGGGCTCTTGGATTCTAAAACCTGTACTGTGCTCATCTCCTTTCTTGGTATTTCTCCATTTTCCTACCTGGTCTTGGTATGCAGCCTGTGGGATATCCCTGTTTTTCTAACTTCTCCTCTCCAGTGAAGCTTTCAAAGCGGGCCTGTTGGGTGTTAGCTGGCCTTGGTTTTCTGAACAATGATGCGGTCCATTTTCAGCCTCGTCTTCCCCTGGGGAAAAACATGTTCCCCAGTCTTGGTATATTCAGGAAGAGAAGCAGGAATCATCTGGCCCAACACCCATTTGTCAAGATGAGCACGCTCCTCAGAACTGGATTTCCTTTGGCCATCAGCCCTCTCTCCTTTTCTTTTTACCCCTGTGGGAGGACTTGACTCGATGGAGGGCACTGTGCCCCTTGGATGCCTCAAGCCTCCCCCAAAGAGCCAGGCCCACCCTTTGGCTCCACCTGCTGGAGATGAACCTTCAGGAGGGCGGGGAAGGGGGTGGAAATGGGCTTGGCCTTCCTCTTGGGAGTCGCCCTCCTTGGCCCACATCCTCCCAGGTTCTGGCTCTTTTCCTGAATTCAGGGAACTCCCAGGATTTGACTCTTGCCCTAACTGAGGAACAGGAGTGAGCAGTCAGAACAAGTTTGATTAGGGACCCAGATGGTTTCTTGTCTCATCTTCTCTGGATTGTGACACAGGTGTTGGAAAGAGAGGTCTCCCACTGCAGAAGACACATGGGCGTCCCCTGGTGGGTTCCAGACCCAGCTCTGCCACCAGGCTTTTATGAGACTCAAGCAAATCCTTCCCCATCTCAGGGCCTCAGTTTCCCCAGCTGAAAAGAAAGAGGGTTAGACAGGATGCCTTCAAAGGGCTCTTCCAGCTCTGCTATTCCATGCTTCTGTGCCATGGAAGAAAGGTCAACAGTGCCCTTCCTTCGTTACGCCAAAATGCCACTCTGTGCTCTAGATATGCCAAAGCTAAAGCTGCCTGACCTTTTGGACTTTGGGCCCTTCTAGTGCAGGCCTAGAGACCTAGCTTGGTTCAAGGAGAAGTGCCTGGCCCGGGCCTACATCCTTGGCACACGAGCCTGGGTCTTTGTGACCCACAGTTTGAAAAAGACCTACTACTACCAAAGGTCACAAACTCAGATGCTTATAGGGGCCGAGCACATAACAAAAATGACTGAAGGGAGCCGCGTGTGGACTCAGGGGAATCGCAAAGAGCACGTCCTGTCTAGGGGTAAAACCACTGCTGAGCCACAGCTTACTGTTGCCTATGGGACCGTGTGCCCAGCAGAGTAAGCAAAGGCAGCCCTGAAGCTGGACTTTCATGGGAAATCTCTGGATTTTTAGATGTTAGCAGGGAGCTCATGTTTTAAGGTAACCTTCAAGAGGCTAAATGACACCCCATCCCCCTTGCCACCTGCTGTGTCTGTGTGTGTGTGTGTGTGTTGTGTGGGGGGGGGCGGGGGGCGCTGGTGACTGAGAGCATGAACTTCGGTATTATATGGGCTAGGGAAGCAATTCTGGCTACACCACTTACCACCAGTGTAGCCTTAGGCAGGTTACCAAGCTTATCAGGGCCCCAGTTTCTTCAGCTAAAACCCTGGGCATGACCACTCTGCCGTTTCCATGATAAGGGATGCTCCTGAGAAGCCCCAGGGTGGTGGGCCCTGGGAGTACCAGAGGATTATTGCCTGTGCTTTGTACTGTCTCCTTGAACTTGGGCAGCTTAGTTCTTCTGACTGAGGGTCTACCCCTCATGCCCAAGTTTGTCCTGTTGTCCTTGGTATTTGTGCCAGAAGAGCCAGCAAAGGTGTGCTGGCTCAAGGGCATGAGAACTGATTGACTCTCATGGACTCTAGGACTTGGAAGGAGAGCTAAAGACAGATCCTGCATGGAGTGGCAGGGACACTGACCTCTCTGAGGCCTGAAGGAGGCCTCAGCCCTGACCACAAGCACCAGAGGTCTTCGAAGTAAGGCCTGGGGATGGTTGGTTCTGACAAACAAGGATGCTCATATTTCACCATCTTCAGGCCTAGGAGGGGCTGTGGACTCCAGCCTCACTCCCTCCTGTTACCTGTCAGGACTCTGCACTGTGGCTGCAGTTAGGGATACGTAAGTGAAGAGGCCTCTGGGAGGGGAGAATCCCTGTATGATCCTGAGCTGTTGGAGGCCCATGTGCCCAGAGGCTGGGAGGGGATTCCTGTGGAGGCCGGGAGGTTGGATTCGATGAGGCCTGAGAGCTGTGGGGCCCTACGTGGTGTTGGGGGGGGCCTAAGTCTAACTTCGTGGTGAGGTGCTGGAGTTCTGGAGACAGCCTGTGTTCTTAGGCAAGGCCTCCATTTCCACATCTATGAAGTGGGAATCAAAGACAGCACTTATCTGACACATGGTTGGAAGCAGTTGATGAGTTCACGAAGATAAGGTCCCTAGCCTGCATGCAAATGTCCCCAGCGTGACTCTCACCGTGGTCTTCCCTAGGTTCCCTGATCAGCCTGTACTGCTCCTCCCAACAAGTCCTGTGCCAGATCGTCGGTGACCTCAGCCCCCAGGTGCCCAGCAGTGTCATCTCCAACAGCTGGCAGGAGAGGTTCAGGCAGAACTACAGCTTCTACGTCGGCCTGGGCCTGGCCATCCTGTCCAGCTTCCTCATCGGCGGCAGCGTCATCCTCAAGAAGAAGGGCCTCCAGCGACTGGTGGCCTCTGGTGCCACGCGGGCTGGTAGGCTCCTGGGGGGTGGGGGTGGATGGGGTGCTGGGTGGCGAGCCCTCGGCCAGCCCTGTGAACCTCCCTTCACGGGGTCCACTGTAGCGGTTTGAGAACCTGTCCTAGATAGGCACAAAAGGCTCATTGTCAGTCCCGTTGGGCCGATCCACCAACAACAGGAGACCTTCCTTTATAATCCAGTAGTTCCTGAGAACTACATGATCAGTTAATTGGGGTGAAGACAGGGAAAAGTCTCAGGGCCAAGAATCAGAAACCCCAGGTCTAGTCCTGGTTTTATTTCTTACCAGTTGTGTCATCATAGGCAAGTCACAATTTCCCTACAAAATGGGAATATAATACCTTTGCCCAGGGCAATGTCAGACACTGGTGCGTCCTCACGTACTATCAATCTGAGCTCCTTTATAGGCTACAAAAGAATTACTGAGTCTCTGTCCATAGGGATTTGCTTGTTTGAAAAATAAGACGTGTATCCATGAAACAATTGTTGAGAAAAGGACTCCTATGTTAAAAAATTTGTTCATTTAACCATCATTCATTGTGTACCAGCTGTGTGCCAGGTGCCATGCTAGACCTGGGGACACAGTGCCCTTGTGGGGCATTGAGTTGAGTGGAAGAGACAGGCAAGTCGATAAACAGTTGTTCTGTAGCATGTTAAATGCTATCATGGGGAAAATGAAGAATGTTATGGCAATATTTTGGAGGGCCATGTAAAGCCAGGCTTGAGGGGTAGGGGAGGTTTTCTGTAAGAGTTGATTTAGAAGCTGAGACCTACATGATGTGGAGATAACAAGGTGAGGGGAAAAGAGAAAGAAGTAGTATTCCAGGCAGAAAGAACAGCATGTGCAAAGGCCCAGGGGTGAGAGAGCATGAGTGATATTAGAAGCTGAAACTGTCTCAGGATGGCTAGAGCATGGAGGGGTAAGAGACGGGGTGAGGGCCAGCTCATGAAATGTCTTGTAAACCGGGCTCCAGAGTTTGACTGTAATTGTAAGTGACAAAGGTTTTAGGCAGGGGAGTGACATAGTTCGATTTACGATTTGAAAAGATCTCTGGTTGCTGGGTGCAGAGTGGATTAGGAGACAAGACTGGAAGGTGGGAGACCAATTTGGGGAGAAAAACAACAGAACTTGGGCCAGGAAATTACAGTGGGAATGGAGACAAGTGGTGAAGTCCAGAGATAGATTTTGAAGGTAGGACTTACTGGGTTTGGGTTTGGTGTTGCCCGGGCCCAAGGGGAGGATGAAAAAATGAGTCAAGGTGACTCAGAGCGCTCTGCTTTGAGCAGCTGGGGAAATGATGGTGCTATTTTCTGAGACAAAGAAAGCAGGAGGAGCAGGTTTACAGGAAGATGATGTGTTCAGGTTTGGACGTGTTCGGTTTAATGTTCTATGGGACACTGAGCTTTGGAAGCAGACTATTTGTGTTCCAATTCTAGCTCCTCAATTCCAGGTGATTATGATCCTGGGCAAGAAAAATAGTTTTCCTGCCTCAGTTTCCTCATCTGAAAAAATGGGGATAGGAATAGTTCCAGCTATATCTTGTTGTGAAGATATGTAGTATGTTTAGAAAGATGCTTAGCATGGAGTAAGCACCAGTATTAGTTTTACTGTGATCTAAGTGGGAGAGCCTGACAGACAGTTGGATACGCAGGACTAGAGCCGGGTGTGCTCTAAAATGGAGAGCTGTGAGGTGTGGGCATGAAGTCAGGATCAGTGGTCATTGCTGCTCTATCTCCTCTTCTGGACAAGGGTTTGGAAGGCCAGAGACCTCCCAGAGTGCCAGAAAAATAGCTGCTTCCACTCAGGAGAGAGCAGAGCAAGTATCACTGACCATTCAGAAAGGCAGCTTCCCCGGAATCCATTTTTTCTCCAATCTGCTCTTTCAATATCTTCTGAGATTTCAACTCAGAGTAAAATGCTCTCAGAGCACTTTTATGGGAGATTCTGACTGCTTGCGGAACCTGATGAACGTTAAAGACCATCTTAGAAAAAAGGGCATTCACAAAAAGCAACATACAACTTTGGGATTTTCACAAAACTGTCTAAAACCCGCCCTAATCATCATTATCCTCATTGCCAATACTGAGTACTGACCACGTGCCCGGTTCTGAGCCCATCGTGTGAACAAAGCAGACACAATTCTTGGCTACATGGAGCTTCCATTTTAGTGGGGGAAATTTCAGAAAATAAATAGATCAAATTATAAATGACAAGTGTCATTAAGGAGAAGAACTGAGTGTGACGAGAGAGAATCCCAAGAGGAGACAATAAAGGTAAGGGGACCAGGGAGGGCATTTTAGTGGAAGCAGCATTCAAGCAGAGACCTGTAGAGTAAGTGTAGATATAGGCAAATATTGTTAAGAAGACTACTCCAAACAGGGAAAAGCACATGCAAAGCCCTTAAGGCCAAAAAGAGCTCATCATTTTTGAAGAACTCAAAGACAGCCTGAGCAGCTAGACTATAGTAGGAAGTGTGGCAGGAGGAGCCTTTGGAGAAGTGAGCAGGGTCAACACTATGAACAGGCTTGTTAGGGATTCTGGTCTTTATCCTAAGAGCATTTCGAAGCCACTGGCCGGCTAGAAGCTGAGGAGTGACATAATTCTTAAAAGACTCCTGGCTGGGCTTCCCTGGTGGCGCAGTGGTTGAGAATCTGCCTGCCGATGCAGGAGACACAGGTTCGTGCCCCGGTCCAGGAAGATCCCACATGCCGCGGAGTGGCTAGGCCCGTGAGCCATGGCCGCTGAGCCTGTGCGTCTGGAGCCTGTGCTCCGCAACGGGAGATGCCACAACAGTGAGAGGCCCGCGTACCGCAAAAAAAAAAAAAAACTCCTGGCTACTATGAAAGGAATGGATTATAAGGGACAAGAGAAGAACCAGAGGAGTCCTAGGAGGCAGTTGCCTCAACCCAGACCAGAGATGATAGTGCCTGGGAGTTGGGTGGTGGGGTGGCATTGGAGTGGACACACGTGAAATGCATTTTGGAGACAGAATCAGCAGGATGGAATGGATGCAGAAGGTGGAGTAGTGGGAGGGTCAGGTGTGATTCCCTGGTTTCTGGCTTAAGCAACTAGGTACACGGAGGTGCCGCTTACTGAGTTTCATTTGGTGGGTAGGGAGCATTTAAAAATCAGGAGTTCCATTCGGGACAGAGTTTGAGATGCCTGTGCGAGACCCAAGAGTTGTCAAGTAAGCAACTGGATATACATCAGGGCTAAGAAGAAAGGATCAGGGTGCATATATGACATAGGGTATCTAGATGGAATTTAAAACTTTGGAAGGGATGAACTCACCCAGGACAGGGCCCAGAAGCAGGCCTGGAGGCCTCACCACAGCTGACATATACTGAACCCTTAGAGACCGGCGAGTGAAGGTAGAGAAGGAAAGGTCCTGAGAAAGTACGGCCAACCTCTAACTTCATGCCCATTCCTTTCTACAGTGGACGGAGGCTACGGCTACCTGAAGGATGCAATGTGGTGGGCTGGATTTCTCACCAGTAAGTGGGTTCTTTGCTACTAAGGACAGTGCCCTATTGATGACAGAGGCAGAGATGAAAGGAGGGGTGGATGGGGCATTTCTGTCTCTATTGTGCAAAATATGAATCCAAGGCCCAGATTTCTAGGGGGAGAATCTAAACAGTCTTTGCAGGTAGAACATTTTACCTGCATCTCAGGTCACTTTCCCCATCCAAAGTCAGTCTTTCATCCATAAAGCATCTCTCCCCAGAGAGGTTTGTACAGAGCTGGTAGTGATAAAGGTGTAATTTCTCAACTTCCCCTGAAATTCAGGGAGCTATGACTGCCCGCTGGAGTCTTCTGGACTCCTGCAGGGCACAGCCTGGGACTCCTAAGTCAGCTGCCCCATTCCACAGGCAATTGTTGGCTCACTTAGAACATGGCTGGTCTGCCACCTAAGGTTTGCCCACATTTTCACATTCACACATTCCTTTCCACCCACCCTCCCTGGCTTTCAAACTCTAATTCTTTGGGACGGAAAATTAGCCAGCTTTCGATTTGTAATCCCCTAAGTCAGGTTTTGATCCCTGTCCCATTCACCATCTGCTTTCAAAGGGCAGACCCAGGTCATTCCCTACGAGCAGGGAGACAGAAGAGGCACTTGCAGGAGTCTGCAAACTGGAAACTCATATGGGGAGAGGTAGGCCCTTTGCGAAGGTCTGACTTTCTAACCACCCGCCTGTCAATCTAGACTATCCATAACTCCTCTGGGAAAGACGGCCCCGTGGACCATTTGGTACCTGGAGAATCAGTAACTGTAGCTGTGTCTTTATTTGATAATTAACACTTTCTAGAGCTTACCTTGAAGATACAGACCAATCATTCGCAGTCCCTGAGATACACTTAACCGTGCCTAGGCTAGAAGCCAAGGGACCTCGAGAACCAGAAAGCACCATGTGACCCTGGACTCCAGGCCACCTCCCTATCTTTAACATGGGAGGATTTGGTCAGGATCATCTGGGCCTGACCTTCAGATCAGATTCTGCAGGGAGACAGCATAAGGGTGGGGATTTTAAGGAATGCTGGTCTGGGATTCTGTGAATGATTGAACACTGAATGAAGCCGTCTCCACCCAGATTCATTTGGGCTGGAGATGGCGCATCAGAGCCACTGTGACCTCTCTTCCCCCTTAATTTCCTAGTGGCTGCCGGAGAAGTTGCCAACTTTGGGGCCTATGCGTTTGCTCCTGCGACAGTCGTCACACCACTGGGAGCGCTGAGTATCCTCATAAGGTTGTTGTCACCTCTCTTGCTGTCCCTTCCTATTTTCAGTTTGTTGATGTCCGGAACTGCACATGGGGTCCATTGCTACTTGCAGTCAAGGACCTGGGTCAGTCTCAGCTTCCAGAAAGAGGCAGTGTGCTGTTCAGAGCTCCGCACCCTTGGATGGTTTGCTGCCTGGGCAGTGAAGGGGCAGGCCAAGCCCAAACCAGGTGGAAGGGCTTCCCCTGCCACAAGGCTGAATGTCCCATGTCAGTGTTTTGGTGCCCCAATAGGAGAAGCACACAAGTTGAAAGTACAAGCCCTAGATTAACCCTCCCTGGGTTCTAACCTTATCTCTGCCACTTTGTAGTTACATGGCAGGTCACTTAACTACTCTGAGCCTCAATTTCCCATCTGCTAAGTGGGGATGTTCATAATACCTGCCTGAAGGCATTGGTTTAAGGACTAAATGAGATGCACAGAAAGTGCATAGTACAGAACAGGCGCTGAAGAATAACCACAGCTAACATATATTGAGGGTTTACCCTGTGCTAAATGTTCTAAATGTATTCCCTCATTTAATCCTCACAGCATCCCTACTAATTAGAAAGGAGGGGAGACCTGAGGCCAAGAGGGGTTAAGCATCTTGGCCGAGGTCACCCAGGTCCCAGGAGGCTGGGCCAGGATTCCCTCCCAGGCAGTCTAATTTCAGAGTCTGGGTGCTTAACCACTAGGTCCCATGGCCTGGAAGATGTTTGATGGTATTAAAGATAGCTGATATTAAATGTGTGTGCTTCCCATTGCCCCGTTCCTCCCAAGCTACAAACACAGTTCCTCTGTGGGGGTCCTAAGCCCCATTGGAAGCTGGCTCTGATTGTCACCCTAACCTTGGAGCCCCGGTAAGTCCCTAGCCCACCACACCCAGTACCTGTAATTTCCTGTTTTGTTTTACCAGCTTGATGACAATTTTGCAGCATTTATGCAGTCAAAAACCAGAGAGAGCCGTGACTCACATGGCACGGTTGGCTGATGTAGCTGAGATACCAGTATTGCGTATCTGATTAGTTTACAGATTCCCATCCCAGGAAGTTGGGAGCGGCAGGGGATCCTCCACTGTGTGACCTCTGCCTTTGCTAATGCTACCGGGCGCTGATGAACAGGCATTGTGGGTAAAATGGTTTTGGGAGTTTTAGAGGAGAGATGGGAGACATTCAAAGGAGGTTAGACATCAATCCCCTCTTTCCTGATACCTTTAAGCGGGACTCATGAGGCTCATTGGGTTACCTTAGGTCAGCCAACAGGTTTTTGCCCTAAACTAATGCCACCTGTTTAAAGAAACAGAAGCATGCCCCAGCGATTGTACCTGTCTTGTCTCACCACCCTTCTTCCTTCACCTTTGCTGGCTCAATTTGGAGGATGTGACAGGAATGAAAGTCACATCACCAAGGAACAGCAAGGAACTGGAGGTGTTTTGTCCAGAAAAGACTCAAGGAAGTCAGGAGAACTCTTCTCAGTGAGGTGTAGAGGAAAAACCATAGGCTTTATAATTAGACAGAACTTGAGTTCAAATCCTGGCTCGTGTCTTACCAGTTGTATGATCTTGCCATCGTTTAAGCTTCTGTGGGACTCAGTTTTCTCATCTATAAAATGGACATATTTTACTTCTGAGAGTTGCAAGATGTTAGTGAGATAATAAATGGGAAGTTCTTAGCACAATATCTAGTATGTAAAGTGTGCCCAAGTGTCACTGTGGTTGTTTATATTGGCATATGCAAATGGAAGAAGGAATGGATTTGTTTTGTATGGCTCAAGGGATATGGGATGAGTAGAAACTACCATATTTTGGGTTAATAACAGAATGAACCTACAAGGGATTCATTTGCCTTGTGAAGGGGAGAGCTGCTTGCCGCCAGAGGTATACAAGCCAAGGCTGAAAGCCTTCTGTCTGCAATGTTAAGAGAAGATGTGCTCATTGGGTAGGAAGTTAGACAAGAGTGCTTTGAAGGGCTCTTCCAACTCTTCTCTTTGGGGATATTGTCAGTCTCTAAAATGAAAGAAATTCACACGTATGTCGTCGATTCCTCCAGCCCACACTGTAACCCTCCCCTAAATAAGTTTCTATTTCACACATTTCCTAGGGGGTCTAGAAAAGCTTCCACGTGTGAGAGTAGTGAGCCCTTGCTCAGCCCTCACTTTTCTCCAGGATGCTGGGACTGGGCTAGCTGCTGTAATCCCTTTCTCCACTTTCACATGCAGTGCCATCCTTTCCTCATATTTCCTGGGAGAGAGTCTGAACCTGTTGGGGAAGCTGGGCTGTGTGATCTGTGTGGCCGGTAGCACAGTGACGGTGATACACGCCCCCGAGGAAGAGAAGATCACCACCATCGTGGAGATGGCTGCCAAGATGAAAGACACAGGTAGGCTCCAGGCTCCCAGTGAGCAGGAAGGCACTGGGCGTGAACCATGTTAAAGGTCTGACTGGGTTCTGGCCATCTCAGGTGCTGCCATGTGGAGGAGGAGGCAGCAAGCTCAGGGAGGAAAGCTGATGGGCTGGTACTGAGGCTAGCTTACAGGTTCCCAGTCTGATAGGTAGGGATGCTATTATTATGTATTTGTTATGTGCCAGGTACTGTTCTAAATGCCTTGTTTGCATTGTCTTAGTTCAGGTTGTTTTAACAGAATATCATAGATTTGGGTGGCTTATAAACAACAGACACTTACGTTTCACAGTTCCGGGGATCACGATCAAGTCCTAGATCAAGGCCCGATAGATTCTGTTCATAGATGGCCAGCCTCTCGCTGTGTCCTCATCTGGTGTAGAGGGCAAAGGAGCTCTGTGGAGTCCCTTTTATAAGGGCAGTATTCCCTTCCTGAGGGCTGTACCCTCATGCCTGAATCACCTCCCAAAGACGTCACCTCCGAATACCATCCCATTTGGGATTAGCACTCAACATGTAAATGGCGGGGGGGTGGCATTCCGTCAATTGCGTGTATTAATTTAATCCTACAAAAAAGCTCCTATGAGGAAGGTCCTAATATTAATCCTATTTTACAAAGAGGAAACTGAGGTCTTGGGGGTTCAATTAATAACTTGTACAAGTTATTAAAAAGTTGTGTTGCTGGAACTGGGACCCATGTTTGACTCCAGAGCCCACGTTCTCTTTTTTTTAATTTTTTTGGCCACACCAGGTGGTGGCATGTGGGATCTTAGTTCCCTGACCAGGGATCAAACCAGCACCCCCTGCGTCAGAAGCACGGAGTCCTAACCACCGGACTGCCAGGGAAGTCCCAAGCCTAGGTTCTTATTTATTTATTTTTGCGGTACGCGGGCCTCTCACTGTTGTGGCCTCTCCCGTTGTGGAGCACAGGCTCAGCGGCCATGGCTCACGGGCCCAGCCGCTCCACAGCATGTGGGATCTTCCCAGACCGGGGCACGAACCCGTGTCCCCTGCATTGGCAGGCGGATTCTTAACCACTGCACCACCAGGGAAGCCCCCAAGCCTAGGTTCTTAATGAGACATCCCATTGCCATGAGTGGAGGGCTCTAGAGGCCACTGGCATCCTCCCAGGTCAGGTTACCTGTCTCCATCCCCCACAAAGGGTACATCGTGTTTGCTGTGCTTCTGCTGGTGTCCTGCCTCATCCTCATCTTCGTCATCGCCCCACGTTATGGACAAAGGAATATCCTCATCTACATCGTCATCTGCTCTGTGATCGGGGCCTTCTCCGTGACTGCCGTCAAGGGCCTGGGCATCACCATTAAGAACTTCTTCCAGGGGCTGCCGGTTGTGCGGCACCCTCTCCCCTACATCCTGTCCCTCGTGCTGGCCCTTTCGCTCAGCACTCAGGTCAATTTCCTCAACAAGGCGCTGGACATCTTTAATACCTCCCTGGTGTTCCCCATCTACTACGTGTTCTTCACCTCGATGGTGGTGACCTCCTCCATCGTCCTCTTCAAGGAGTGGCACAGCATGTCGGCCGTGGACATTGTGGGCACCCTCTCTGGCTTTGTCACCATCATCCTGGGTGTGTTCACGCTTCACGCTTTCAAAGACCTGGACATCAGCCGGACCGGCCTGCCCCACCTGCACAAAAACCCAACCCCGCCTCCCGCCCCAGAGCCCAGCATCGTTAGACTCAAAGACAAGAATGTTCTTGTGAACAACATAGAACTCTCCAGCGCCCCATCACCAGAGAAGAAGCCCGAAGTATTTATAATCCATTCGTAAAGCTTGGAATACATGAGTGAGAGGGTGAGCCCTGTGGTACAGCCTGACTGCTCAATTTCAGAGCCACCTGGTTATTTTCAACACAACTCTTACCAGTGGGCTCTCTTTTCTTGAGACGTTCATTTATACCTCACCGCTGTTTCCGGAAGAAAAATCCCTACACAGTGAGCAGTGGTGGCAGAACCTCCTGGAAACACAGCCTCAGTGACCAAATACCCTACTACACATTGGTGCCAGCAGGTCCCCTGGACCTCCCGTCCTACTTGTTTCCTCGGTGCCATCTCTGTGTTGTTGGGAAGAAGATAGGATTTGATCCGTTGAATGTAGCACAAGCCAAGAACTTCCCTGAAATGTTGGTCATCAGGAAATCCTTCGCACTGGTTCTCCTCCTGAGACTGATTCACCGTTCCTGAGCCCAAGACTGAAGTGCAGCTGGCCCTCCGAGGCCCAGAGAGCAACTCGCCATGCCTCCCGTCCAGAACCAACAGACACACAATTATTGTAAAATGTCTTGTTGCATTTGCCACCTCATCTTCGGAGACAGAGGCAAGACCTCAGCTGACCTGCTTACTGTGAAAGCCACCTGACGTCTCAGGGAAACACTTCCACCAGCCCCGTTCCCGGGAGCAGCCAGCCTGGAGGTCAGCATCTGTTTCCATCCACCCGACCCCTTCCCCACCCTTCCCTCTCTAGACACATCCTAAGGAGTCAGTCATGGAGACATTCAGGCAGTTATCTAAGAACTCAAAACAACACAACAACAACAAAAGGTGCTTGCTTCCCAGCCAAGCTATGCTGGCCAAGCCCAGTGTTTCATTTTGCCTCACTCTCCAAAGAGAACAGCGATTGCACTGCTCTTAAAAGTAGCCTGGCTGTCGAGCAGAATGCACTTTCCTTTTCCTCAAGGAGTAAACCAATATGATTTGGGGAGATGGGGAGAAGAGTAAGGGGCAGTCAGGAAAGCAGACACAGGCTCTCTGGAAACCAGGGGCTAACTTTTGTGTTTACTCTGGTGGTGAACCAAGAACCCAGGTGGAAAAGGCTCTGGGTAACTTGTTTTCTTCTGGACACACGGCGCGGCACGTGGGACCTTATTAGTTCCCTGACCAGGGACTGAACCCGCACCCCCTGAATTGGAAGTGCAGACTCTGAATCGCTGGACCGCGAGGGAAGTCCCCTCTGGGTAACTTCTGGGCTGAAGCCTTAGAGGCTTGGCCAGTGGGATCAGCTTTGAACTTCAGTGACCAAGTCGGGGGGTGTAAGCTCGGCACGGGGTGCAATCTGGCTGTTGACCAGATCGCCACCAAGTCCCCAGCTCCACTGATGAGCTGCCCACACTGGGAAGCAGTGTGTCACGACTGCTCCACCACCACCTGCTTTGGGGACTGCCTTTGGTCCCCTCACATTTGACCAGAGGCAGTCAAAAAACAAGAGCAGCTGGAGAGAGACATAATTAATATCCCCTCCCTTCCTGTCTTCTCTCCAGCAGCAAGAATGTGAGAGTTGATATGAGGACCATTGACAGGGAGGTAAGGGAGCCAGTATATCTGTAAAGAAGGAAGACCTGGCCCTCAGCCCCCAAGCTGGTGCAGAGCCTCCCCTGTGTAACTCCACACCCGTGCCTGTGTTTACGTCCTGTGCCCTAAGCATAGCCAAGCCCAGGCCAAACTGTTGCTGGCCTTGTAGCTCCAAGGAACAGACTGGCTTCCTGCACCGCCAGCCTCAAAGCCACAGTTTTTAATGAATGTGGATTTCTCTCTGTAACTAAAATCAATGCAACATGTTGGATCTTGAGAATGACTGTAATCTGAAGGCCCTGAGAGCGTGGTCTGCAGGGTCAGGAATAAAGTGTGTGTTTATTTGAGTGTGTTTACTTGATACTTACATCTTGGCTTTCCTTGGACACGGAACAATTAAAGTGGTTCCTCTAGTGCCGGGGGCCAGTCCCCAATCTCTGGAGAGTTCTGGCTGCCAAGGAAGTCCCTCCAGTGCTTTCTACAGCCACGCCTTCACTAGAGAGGGAAAGGCTGTTTGGGAAATAGCGTCAGTGGAAGACACCCATCCCATGCCTGGGCCCTTACGAGAAGCCAACCACAGTGCTAAGAGCTTCACGTGAATACTTTTTTTTTTTGCGGTACGCGGGCCTCTCACTGTTGTGGCCTCGCCCGTTGCGGAGCACAGGCTCCGGACGCGCAGGCTCAACAGCCATGGCTCACTGGCCCAGTCGCTCCGCGGCATGTGGGATCCTCCCAGACCGGGGCACGAACCCGTGTCCCCTACATCGGCAGGCAGACTCTCAACCACTGCGCCACCAGGGAAGCCCCATGTGAATACTTTTAAGCTCTCACAAATCCTCAAGTCGATCTGTATCATTCATGCTGTGAGTGACCCCCAGACCTATTAAAACTAGACTGGCCTGTGTCCAGGTGCAAAGACAAACAGCTCCCTCGACTGGTCATGGGAAAACCCAGGGCTTTTCTATGGCTCAAGATCTTCCACGGTGGCCTCACAGGCTGGACAGACGGTCTCTGTAGGAACTCTTCTGAGGAGTCCTCGGTGATGGATCCTATCCAGGCTGGCCAGTGCAACATTAAAACAAAGAAACAAACAAGAGTTGCCAAACCAGACATTTCAAATGACAATTTAATTAAATACAAACAAGGAAAAAAGGCACCACAGCCCATTCAAGTATTTTGCATAGATATACAAATATTGTAAACAATTAATAGGTGGACGAGAGAAAAGAGGATCTGTTTTCTGTGAACAATCTCCCAAATAAAAAGAAAATTCACATTGCCCTGGATCCCAGATGCACACGTACATACACACAGTGGATGGTAAGAGAGGATGCATGGAAGGGTGACTTTGGGGGCACTTGGCTTGGATTCTGCAGAACCTCTCCTTTGCACGGTTCCCTAAGGATGGGTGGAGCACCTTTCCAGTTGGCATACTCTTGACTTTCTTGCGTGTCCAGCAGAGCTGTTACATACGCACTTAACGCCATCACTGACTTTAGAACTGGTCCCCAATTTAAAACGCGCAAGTTTTCCATACCCTCGGCCAAATAAGAACAAATTCTGACCTAGGTAAGGGGAGGCTTTGTTCAAAAGGATTGTTGCAAGAGATGGCGAGGGGCCATGGCCACAGGGGGATGGGGCTATGACAGTACTGTAAGGTCTACAGTGAGACCCTAAGGTCTGCGAGCCTCTCAGAGCTGGGGCAGAAAGGAGCTTTTCTTTCATAGGGAGAAGTCAGTAAGGCTAAAAAGAACCCACGGCAAGCAGGCAGTTACCACTGGAGCCTGGTGCCTGGGCTAAAACTCCCACTGAGCCAGGTCGAGAGAGGGTGCAATCCCCCTTGATGTCCCCTGAGGTTCACATTTCAGAGATGCCTCCTAGGCTCTTAAGGAAAACACACCTACACACACAAAAAAAAAAACCACACGAACAAACAAAAAAACACACCTAGGGTTGAAAAACTGGCAGGAGGCTAAGTTAGCTTCTAAAAAGATTTACATAGTCTCCATCTGAACAGAAGGCTGGTTAAGTCACTCCACCAAGCCTCAGTTAGGCTCCCCTCCTACCCCCCAGACCCTGAGCATGGACTCACCCTTGGCCAGAGCCAGCATACAGCCCCTTCCCCAAAGGCTGACCACAGAGATGGTCCCTGAATGTGGTTTTTTCCAGCCATGCTCACTCCTTCCTATAAAAGGCCCCTTCCGTCTGAGCTGTGGGATGCTCATAGATCTTGTAGCCGCTCAGCTCACCCGAGCATTCTCCTAATGCAACTGCCCCCTGCCCCTATCGCAACACTCCCTTCCCCAGTCTTGCAGTAATCCTTGAGAATAAAGTGCCTCTTTCCCTAAGTCCATATTGGTTTCCGTCACCTCAAAGCAGCACATGGACACAGGAGGGAAAGAACGGGCTATGACAGCCAGGCTTGCTCCTGGGCAGACTCCCCGCCGGCCTGCCAGAACACAGCCAGGAGTCAAACAGTAAATAGAACTGGCTGCTAAAAGTCTTATCAAATTTAGAAAATTCAACCATTTTCCAGTTCACAGTACAATGTGTATGGGATGGAGGTGGTATTAAAAAAATTGAAAACAAAAACGGAAACAAACAGGAAAGCAACAATCCAGGTCTCTTTCTGGTATGGTTCCAGGGAGGGTGGATTTCAGGTTCAAAAGGCTCATGCAGCCACAGTGGCTGGGGCATTTTCACTTCAGAGCCTTCAACCTCCTGACGTTGGGGAGAAAAGCTGGACATGCCACAGGAATGTCAGTGAGGCAGGGGGTTGAGTTTAAGGGTGATTTCAGTGGAGAGATGTTTTCACCGTTAATTTTCTGGGGCCCAGCCTTGAGGCCTGGGGCATCTCGAGTAGCACACTTAACATGGAAGGCCGTCCCCTGACCTCATCAGGCAGCAAGGATGGTGGACATCGGCTGTGGGGAGCAACCAGGGCCCTTGTCGGCAAGACAGGGGTGTGAACATCACCAATAACACAACCTGACTACCTGAGGAAAGAGAACTTCATTTTCCTGAGCTCTTTCTAAATCTATCCCAAGTGTCCCCCCGCAGGTGCACAGCCTGAACATCCCACTTGTCTACAAACCCAAGAATATCTAGTGAGCACCTATTGTATACAGAGAACGATAAGGGGGCCCCGGGGTAGTGGTTGGGAGTGAAAACTCAAGCCTCTTCCTTGCACTGAGGTTTTCAAGAGCAAACGTCTGTTCACTGCAGGAGGCGGGGAGGCCCCAAGCTGCCCGGCACCTTTCTGGGGTGGGAGACCATCCCAGAGAACATCTCCGGTGGTTCTCTGAAAATCCTCCCAGCTAGCAGAGCACCACACAGCCCCCATTCCCTGCTGCGGGGAGGACAGGACCAGAGGAAAGAACACAAGGAAGAGGATGAGAAAATGTCTGGCCGGTCCCGGCACAGACTCTGTTCCATCAAGGCTGCTTCTCTAGGGATCTCTAGAGACAGGTCTGCTCTCTGCTCAGAAGACAACGGTCCTGCCTCAAGCCAGTGACCAGGTCTGGAGACAGGCTGGGGCTCCCAGGATGTCCACTCTCCTCCCTGCACCCACCACTGTCCCTGAGGACCTTACTCAGATTCAGGTCAGGGAGTAGAAGGAAGACCCACACTCTGCTGCGGTCACCACACACCATGGAAAGTAAAGCTACGACCCCACAGCCATGGCCCGAGTCTACCCGGGTCAACACTCTTGAGAACCAACATAGGAGATCCCGTGGCCAACCCGCAGGCAGGACCCTGACTTGCAGGTCACAGCACCAAGTCCCAGGAAGTCGGGACTGCTGGGGATTCACTCTTCACAGCACCACACATTAGGCGGGTCCCAGCGGAGAAGGAGAAATCAGAAGCGTGAGGCACTTGGAAAATGCAGAAGAGAAAACAAGGAGCACGCGAGAACAGTGGCGAGCGGAGTCAAAACCTTTGGCTTGACGGCTCAGAGGGGGCCGGGGCTGTGCTCCCCCTGCTGTCTACACTGCCTACAGATAGTACCTGTCTGAGTCAGAGTGACCCTTGGGAGTAAGGGGATGTGGGGGCTTTGGTGGGGGGAGGGGGGCGGCGTGAGGAGGGAACTTGACGTGCTCACATATGGCCACAGAGCCAGGAGCTGTGACCTCAACCAAGCCCTGGCTGGAGTGACCCCTCCTGATCAGTAAAGCTAAAAGGGACAGTAAGTGCCCAGCCTCTGTCCAGCCTGGGACCTCTGAGGAAGATGGAAGCAAAGGAAAGCTCTCATGCGTACCCTCCTCCATAGGACGTGGATGGATGGCTTCTCCAAGCTGAGTCCTGGCCTCAAGGGCTAAACAGACTTTTCCCAGCTGGGCTTGCCAGCTCGGACAGCCTGCACCAGCTCAACTGTCACCTCCGGGGTGAGGGGCCAGCTGAAGGGCGGATAGGGGACGAGCAGCCACTCAACCTCTTCGGCTCTACCCTCCCTACCTGGGGCTGAATATTGCACAAAACAACACTTGGATGCCGTTGATGGTAGGCACTCTGGGCCTCTGTGGAAGCCGAGGTGGCACTGAGTCAAGGAGGAGATTTTTCAGAGATGCAGTGGTTCCAGGAGGAGGGGAGGTGGGGAGGGGGAGCTCAGAGGTGGCCGGGCATGCTTCCTCCAGATTCCGTGGCCACAGCTCCTCTGTGGTGTTCAGAGTCCTCACAGGAAGGGAGAAGCGCCTTCAGACGAGTCTAGATTTTCGAGCTAGCCATCCCCACAGCCCTCTGTGACCTGTATTCAGGAAACTGCAGGGAAAAAAGAGAGGGAGAGAGACATCAGCTCCGTGCTATCAGTGGGGAGCTGTCCTCTGGCTTGTGACAGGTGGGCGTGAGTGGCAGACTGTCACCTGAGAAGAAGGGTTTCCGCAGAAGTCTGTCCACATGTCTGCTCGTCCAGACCATCAACTCTGCAGTAAGAGGCATGGTGGCAGCCCCCAACCCCCAGCTGACAAGCCATTCCCCTCCTCCCTCCCAGCAAAGCTGCAGCTCAGTCTGCAGAGTTCCCAGGGCCTCATAGGAACACAGGGCAGTGAGCCAGCTTCCTCACCTGCTCCCCTCTGCCCCAACTCCCAGGACTAAGACTAAGTCCCAGGACTAAGTCCCAGGGAAGATGTATTAAGAGGGGCCATTTGTGCACAGCCTACCATAGGCCAGGGGTTAATGTAAATTAACTGCCTTGACCTTCACAGTAACCCGATGGGGTTGGCTATTTCTGCTTCGTAAAACCTCTTGCTAGATAAGGAAACGGAGACTCAAGAGAGTGATTTGCTCAGGGCCGCTCAGCTCAGCTCAGCTCATCAGTTGCAGACCCAGGTTTGAAGCTACCATAGCTCAG